CCTCAGTCAGCTCCGATGTGCAGTCTGTGTTCAAGGGGAAGACATACAACCAGCTGCAAGTGCTGTACCAGGGTATTGAGAGCAAGATCCGGGCAGGAGGCCCCAACCTGGACATTGGGTACTGGGAGAGTCTGCTGCAGCAGCTGAAGGCTTACATGGCTCGGGCCAGGTAAGAGCCAGGGGCTGCCCTGGGAAGCAGGAGGAGGCTGTGGGAAGGGGTAGCACAGACCCCACTGTGAGCAGAGCTGCAAGGGGACACAAACCCAAAGTCACCACTGGAGGGGTTTTACACTTTTCTGAGTGGTAGCTTGTGCCAAGAGGGGAGAAGAGCTGGGGACAGTCCCTTCTCCAGCAGCAGTGTTTACAGGGAGGTCTCCAGGAGGGAATCAAACTGGAGCCTTACAAACCTCAGCAGATTTCCAGCTGATGTGGTGGGTGTTGGAGCTCTGGATAATGTGGGCACAAGGGGGTTCTGCTGGGTGGGACCTGACAGCTCCTCTCATCTCGCAGGCTGCGGGAGCGGCACCAGGATGTGCTGCGCCAGAAGCTGTACAAGCTGAAGCAGGAGCAGGGTGTGGAGAGTGAGCCGCTCTTTCCTATCATCAAGCAGGAAATGGCCTCCCCCAGCGACAGGTAGGAAGCCCTTCCTATGGGCAGCATCTAGGGCTCTCCTATGGGACACCCAAGACAGAAGATGCAGCCTTGTTCTCCCACCCTTCCATAGACAGACCTCAGGTGAGCACAGAACAAGGGTACCATCCCCGTCCCAGTCCTCTCTTCTCTCTTCCTTGTAGGCTAGATCCAGAGGAGATGGTACAGCCAGGGCCGTCCTCGGAGCCAGAGGCTGAGCAGGATGCAGAGGCCAAGGGAGAGGCTGTGCTGATGGAGGAGGACCTGATCCAGCAGAGCCTGGATGACTATGATGCAGGGAAGTACAGCCCCCGGCTGCTGAGCACCAACGAGCTGCCCTTTGATGCCCATGTGCTGGAGGCCGAGGAGGACACTCATCGCCTGCTGCTCCTGCGGCAGCAGCTGCAGGTCACAGGTAGGAGCCCCTGTACTTGCCAACACATGCTTCAGGGTGCAGGGCTAGAGGGGGAACAGACTGAGATGAGACCTTAGGCAGATGGGTCTTGGAGCAACCTGCTCCAGTGGAAGGTGTCCCTGCCCATGGCAAGGGGTTAGAGCTGGATGAGCTTTGAGGTCCCTTCCAACCCAAACCATTCCATGATGCTGTGACCAGTTCTTTCCTCTTCTCCCCATAGGCGATGCCACCGAGAGCACTGATGACATCTTCTTCCGTAAGGCTAAGGAGGGGATGGGTGCAGACGAAGCACAGTTCAGTGTGGAGATGCCCCTCACAGGCAAAGCTTATCTCTGGGCTGACAAGTACCGGCCCCGCAAGCCCCGCTTCTTCAACCGGGTGCACACGGGCTTCGAGTGGAACAAGTACAACCAGACCCACTATGACTTTGACAATCCTCCTCCCAAGATCGTGCAGGGCTACAAATTCAACATCTTCTACCCCGACCTCATCGACAAGCGCTCGACGCCCGAGTACTTCCTGGAGGCCTGTCAGGACAACAAGGACTTTGCCATCCTGCGCTTCCACGCTGGGCCCCCCTACGAGGACATCGCCTTCAAGATCGTCAACCGCGAGTGGGAGTATTCCCACCGGCACGGCTTCCGCTGCCAGTTTGCCAATGGGATCTTCCAGCTCTGGTTCCACTTCAAGCGGTACCGTTACCGCAGATGAGGAGCTGCCCCACTCACCTCCAGAGCCCTGGCACAAGGGGGTCTCGCTCCCAATCACATGCACTGCCCCACAGCCATCCCCAGGGCATGGCCCAGCAGAGGGCCTGTTCCTGAGGGATTTCCCTGTCCTTGCTTTTATCCTGAGGGACCCTGAGACTTTGGTACCAATAAATAGGGGTTGTTTAAGCAGTGTCCTGCTGGGTGTGGGCGCCCTGTGCTGCTCACTCCAGTCCTGCACATCCCCACCAGCCATTACCACACTGGGCCAGCACTGGTAGCTCCTCTGGGGCTGGGTAGTGCTTGAGGGTGTCCCCACTGACCTCTCCAGGGTCTGTCACCTCATTCCTTCTGCTGTCACCCCGGAGTGCCTGATCCAGCCCCATGTGCTCTCCTTGCCCCCACTGGCCCCTTCCCAGCCCCACACACTCCCATTGCTGGTGCCAGACCAGATGTTCCCCAGCTGCAGCCACCCTTGCTCCTCCCCAGATGGATCCCTGGGCCCATCACCCTCCTGGCCAGCCCCATTTCTGGCATGTTCCACCCTGGGATCTGGCTTCCCCAGCCTGGGAGAGCCACCACCCCCTCCTGACCCTGGTCGTGGGATGAAGGTTCAGTGGCTGTGAGGCGCCTGCCTTGGCAGGGAGGAGCAGAGGGTGTTGGATGGGACATCTCCTTACAGGGGAAAGTCTGCCCTGCAGTCCCTCCCACCCGGTGCCTCTGGGCTGCCCCAGCCTGAGCTTGGGTGTTCCTGAGAGCCTTGAGCATCGCTCAGGGGTATTGGGCGCCTTCAGGGCTGAGCTGGGACTTGCTGGTGTTGGTCCCTCCTGGTGCTGGCCATGGGATGCAGACAATGTTCAGGGGTCACCGCACATGGCCCCATCCCCAGCAGCTTCTGAACCTGGGGAGTGCTGAAGCCAGGATGATGCTGGAATGGGAGGAAGCCTTTTGGCCATGAACTGCTGCAGGAAGGCTGTTTCCTCCCCGCAGGCTGCCTCGCTGCATCCTGCTGCCTGCTACAGCCCCACAGCCAGGGGACTTGCTGGGGTCCCCAGCACTGAGGCAGAGCCAGCCCTGCTGCTGGGGGGCTCCATGCACTTGGGGACCACCCCATGGCTGTTCTCTCCCCCCAGAGCTCAGGAGGGCTGCCCTGTCCTGCTGTTCTCGGCACCACTGGCTGCATGCAGCCGTGCACAGGCCATGGGAGCTGGTGCTCAGGGGGTCTCACGCCTGCTTCAGCCCCCCCATCATGCCAGGGCTCAGCTGCAGGGTTTGGGGAGCCCCAGGAGCCTTACCCGCACATGTGCGTGTCCCATCCACATCTCCATCCCCATCCTGCCGGACATCCCTGGGGCTGGGTAACATCCCCAGCATCTCCTTCCTGTGAGTTATTTAAAGCTCGGCACTGGGGGAGCAGGAAGCGTGTGAAGGCTCAGGCAGGGATGGCTTGGGAGGAAATAGGGAATAAAGAATCCCAAAGGCAGTGGCTGGGACTCTCCCTCCTTCACTGCCTCACCCCAGGCACACGCACCCAAGGGCTGGAGAGGTGGTGGTCTGTGGGGTGCCCAGTATCACCCATGGGCTCAGTGGGTGCTGGTCCACAGTGTGCCCGGTATCACCCATGGGCTCGATGGGTGCTGGTCCCTGGTGTGCCCGGTGTCGCCCATGGGCTCGATGGGTGCTGGTCCCTGGTGTGCCCGGTGTCGCCCATGGGCTCGATGGGTGCTGGTCCCTGGTGTGCCCGGTGTCGCCCATGGGCTCGATGGGTGCTGGTCCCTGGTGTGCCCGGTGTCACCCATGGGCTCGATGGGTGCTGGTCCCTGCTGTGCCCGGTGTCACCCATGGGCTCGATGGGTGCTGGTCCCTGGTGTGCCCGGTGTCGCCCATGGGCTCGATGGGTGCTGGTCCCTGGTGTGCCCGGTGTCGCCCATGGGCTCGATGGGTGCTGGTCCCTGGTGTGCCCGGTGTCGCCCATGGGCTCGATGGGTGCTGGTCCCTGCTGTGCCCGGTGTCACCCATGGGCTCGATGGCTGCTGGTCCCTGCTGTGCCCGGTGTCACCCATGGGCTCGATGGGTGCTGGTCCCTGCTGTGCCCGGTGTCACCCATGGGCTCGATGGGTGCTGGTCCCTGGTGTGCCCGGTGTCGCCCATGGGCTCGATGGCTGCTGGTCCCTGCTGTGCCCGGTGTCACCCATGGGCTCGATGGGTGCTGGTCCCTGCTGTGCCCGGTGTCACCCATGGGCTCGATGGGTGCTGGTCCCTGCTGTGCCCGGTGTCGCCCATGGGCTCGATGGGTGCTGGTCCCTGCTGTGCCCGGTGTCACCCATGGGCTCGATGGGTGCTGGTCCCTGCTGTGCCCGGTGTCACCCATGGGCTCGATGGGTGCTGGTCCGCGGGTCCCGCCCGCCAGCGCTGCCCCCCCCGCTGCATCCTCCCCATCCTCCGGGCGCAGGAATCCGTCTCGGGTAAACAAATGAGTAAAGCGGGGCCGAGCCGGGCGCTGCCGAGCGCGGCCGGGACCGCAGCGCCGGGGCTGCGGCGCTGCTCGGGCGCGGGGCAGGTGAGAGCCGGGGCCGGGGGATGCTGCGGGGAGCGGGGCGGGGCCGGGGGGGCCCGGGGTGCGCGGGGAGGAGCCGGGTGGGTCCGGGCGGCAGCGGCGGGGGGGATGCGCTGATGGAGGGTCCGGGCCGCGGGGAAGGACAAAGCTGGGACGGGCGGAGCGGGGGGTGGACACAGAGAGACGGGGGCGTAGGAACGGAGGGGCTCTGGTGGACACGGGGGGGCCGGACTGCACAGAGGCCTGGAGACCCCCCGGGGGGCAGGCACGGACCGTGCCCGCACCCCGCACTCTGTGCCTGTCCGTACCCTGGACCGGGTGTCTGGGGCTGGCGTGTCCAAAGCCGGCCCCCCAGCAGCAGTCACCCCCCATCACAATGCTATGGGCCACAGCCACCGAGCCTGGCTGCTGCTCCTGTGGCACCGCTGCCCATCGGTGTCCCCGTCCTGGGTGTCCCAGGGGTGTGCCTGCTCCAGGGTCCCCTTGGTGGCTGTGGATCCAGGGAAGGATGCGGGAGCCCTGCTGGGTTCCTGTCCACATGGTGTGGGTGTTATCCCATCATTATCCCGTCCTCATCCCAGCTGATGCCCTCCTCCTGATCCGCCACCCAGGGAGCACCGTCCTGGGGGTGCTGGGGCCATCCCTGTGGGATCACCTGCAGGAGGGACATCGGCCGGAGGGGCAGATGGGGCTCTCTTTGTGGTGTCCCCTTGCCCAGAAACCTCCCTTCTCAACCCCCCCACCCCCTGCCCGAGGAACCGGGGGAGCGATGGGCTGGGAGCGCTGATAAGGAGCAGACGCCTGTGCTGCTGCTCCGCCTCCTGCCTTCCCCTCCCTGAGCTCGGATGTGGCCAAGGGCAGGAAGTGGGGCCCGGGCATCCCATGGGGCATCTGCGTGATGCCAACCCTAAGCTCTGTTAATACCCGCACCTCCGCATCCAGCACCTCCCACCCCTCAGCTGCTCCTCTCCGCTGGGATTTCACCCCTTTGCCTTCATCTGCAGGAGCTCTCTGGAAGAGGGTTTGATTGGATCCAGTTACCTCAAAACCACACACAGGCTCAGGGTGTCTCCTCCACAGGACGGTGAGTGAGGATCCCCTCATCCCACATGAACCCTGTCTGATGAGTGCCCCTGCTCTGGTGGGTGGGGGGCAGCAGCTGAACGGCCCCTCTTTAATGCCTTATCCCCTCTAAGAGCTGCACGGTTCCAAGGCAGCTCTGCCCAGGGCAGCACATGGATGCTCAGCCCTCGAGCCCACCCTTGCAATGGTGGGTCCAGATCACAGAAGCTCCAAGGCAGGAGGGGAGGGGACATGGGTGATGGTGGGTTTGGGATGTGCAGTGTGGAGCTGGCACTGTGGGGAGAGGGGTGGCATCCTGGCACACAGTGACTGTGTGTGCCACATCCCATGGCTGTGAGTCTGCAGGTGATGGAAGCAGCTGGGCAGCATCATTCCATGGCTCCTGATCCCCAGCCAGTGCAGGAACCACCCTGGCACTGGCAGAACACAGACAGGCTTGGGGACATGACCCAGGCACGTCAGGGGACACCTGGAGTGGGACCTCTGAGCTGGGGCGTTACCGTGGAGATCCCAGTGGGGTGCAGGAAAGGCTGGGGGGTCCACAAGGGACCTGGATCCATCTCAGTGAGGGTTCACCATGTGCCTCAAGGGGACTGATGCCTTTGGGGCCACTGCAGCCATAGGCGGGGGGGACGGGACGGGACCAGAGCAAACAAACAGCACAAGTTTTCACTCTTGGCTCATGGAAAAAGCCGGGGCAGTGAATCACCGCCATGCTCTGCCAGCGGGACCGGGACAGGGATGGGGACATCTCCCACTCCCACTCCCTTCCCTGCTCCCCAGTGGCCATTAAGGGTAAGAAGCTGTGGCTGCCCCATCCCTGGCAGTGCTCAAGGCCAGGTTGGACACAGGGGCTTGGAGCAAGCTGCTCCAGTGGAAGGGGTCCCTGTCCATGGAATGGGGCTGGAATTGGAGGAGCTTTAAGGTCCCTTCCAATCCCAACCAGGCTGGGATCCTATGTGGACAGAGGGCAGAGGCCAGTGCCACCCTGAACGAGGAGCGTGACACTTCACAGAGCTGACAGGTAGGCACACAGCTGAGCATCCCATGGGGGGCACCAGGCTGGCGATGGTGTGGGGACAGGGACAGGAGCATCCAGAGCCTGGAGAAATGAGTCCCGGGGGGGGGGGTCTGGTCCCAGCATGGTCCCCCACATGGAGTCTGGTCCCAGGGGTGAGCACCCATTCCCCATTCCTGGAGCTGCCAGTGCCGCGATCCCATCACCGCCTCGCTGGGTTAGAGCCTCGTGGCAGCAGCGCCCATGGCTCAGGGCCCGGGACTGTTAATCCTGACCAGCTGCACCCCACGCTGTGCCAGCCCCATGGTGCTGGTGGGTGCCCCCCCCACGTCTGCTGCCCTGAGCGGGTGCTGGGTGGGTTTGGCCAGGGGGGACCATCCCCAAACCCCCACCTTGTTTCTGTCCCTGAGACCCTTCTTGGCAAACTCTTGTGGTGTCCCCAGCACCAGAGGGATGTGGAGCTGTTGGAGCGAGGCCAGAGGAGGCCACGGAGCTGCTGCGAGGGCTGGAGCAGCTCTGCTCTGGAGCCAGGCTGAGAGAGCTGGGCTGGGGCAGCCTGGAGAAGAGAAGGCTCCTGAAGGGGAGACCTGAGAGCAGCTCCAGTGCCTAAAGGGGCTGCAGGAAACCTGGAGAGGGGCTTGGGACAAGGGCCTGTAGGGACAGGGCAAGGGGAATGGCTTGAACCTGCCCGAGGGGAGACTGAGCTGAGCTCTGAGGCAGAAGCTCTTCCCTGTGAGGGTGCTGAGGCGCTGGCACAGGGTGCCCAGAGAAGCTGTGGCTGCCCCATCCCTGGCAGTGCTCAAGGCCAGGTTGGACACAGGGGCTTGGAGCAAGCTGCTCCAGTGGAAGGGGTCCCTGCCCTGGCAGGGGTTGGAGCTGGAGGAGCTTTAAGGTCCCTTCCACCCCAAACCATCTGGGATTCTGGGATTGTCTTCACAGGGCAAGGCAGGATCAGCGCCAGCAGTGGTGGGGCACAGACGCCATAGAGCCAAGCCAGGATTACACCTGCTGATGTGGGGGGACATGGATCCCTCCAATGGCAGCCGGTTGGACGCCTGCTTTGGGGTGTTCAACACCAGCGACGGGCGCGACCCTGCGCAGAGCAGCATCGCCTCGCCCTGGTTCTCCACCGCCTTCGGCCTCATCGGCCTCGGCTCCAACCTCTTTGCCCTCTGCGTCCTGCTCAGCTCCTCCCGCAAGCTCTCCAGCCAGGCCCGCTCCTCCTTCCTCGTCTTCCTCTGCGGGCTGGTGGTCACGGACTTCATGGGGCTGCTGGTGACGGCCTCGGTCATCATCCCCTACCACTTCATCAAGTTCGCCTGGGCCAAGGTGGACCCCGGCTGCCACCTCTGCAACTTCCTTGGCTTTTCCATGGTGTTCTTCGGGCAGTGCCCGCTGCTGCTGGGGGCCACCATGGCAGGAGAGAGGTTCTTCGGCATCAACCGCCCCTTCTCGCGCTCCACCAGCGTCTCGAAGCGCCGCGCCTGGTCCATCGTGGGGCTGGTGTGGGGCTTCTCCTGCCTGCTGGGGCTGCTGCCGGTGCTGGGGCTGGGCCGGTACACGCTGCAGTACCCCGGCTCCTGGTGCTTCCTCACCCTCCTGCCTGACACCGGGGACATCATCTTCTGCCTGCTCTTCGCTCTGCTGGGCATCTTCTCCGTGCTGCTGTCCTTTGTCTTCAACACGGTGAGCGTGGTGACGCTCTGCCGCGTCTACCACGACCGGGAGTCGGTGCAGCGGCGCCGCGACAGCGAGGTGGAGATGATGGTGCAGCTCGTGGGCATCATGGTCATCGCCACCATCTGCTGGATGCCCCTTCTGGTGAGGACCTGCGTTCACCCCCTCACTCTCCTGGTGAGGAGTTCACTCTCCCACCCCCACCATGTCCCTTCTGAGTCTGTCCCTCCATGCTCCTCCTGGTGATGTCCCAGGTTTGGGGGTGTTCTCCTGATGATGCCCTCAGACTTGGTGTCCCTCTGCCACCACTCTGTCTGTTGGCCCTGGCTGACGGGCTCTGGGGCTCAGTGCCACACTCAGGCAGAGCAGGGCCCCCAGACCAGCCCAGGATCCCTCTGCACCAGGCTCAATGCCCAGCCTGGACCCTCCTCATCTCCCTGGCCACAAAGCACCTCATGACCCCTGCATGGATCCCCCCCATTGACACCTTCCCCCCTTCTCCCAGATCTTCATCGTGCAGATGGTGCTGCAGCAGCTGCCAGCCAAGGGCCAGCTCCAGACGCTGCCCACGGAGACGCAGAAGATGCTGCTCATCTACATCCGCATGGTCACCTGGAACCAGATCCTGGACCCCTGGGTCTACATCCTCTTCCGCCGGGCTGTGCTGCAGCGCATCTACCCCGGGCTGCGGCCGCGGCCCTCCATAGCCTCCCTCTACCCCGTGCTCAACCTCTCCCTGCGCCGCAAGCTCACCCCCGGCTCTGTCCTGCAGTAGTGGCCCCATGTGGGAGCAGGAGAAGCAGCCTCCACCCCAGGGTACCCAACTGCCCCATCACCCTCACCCACGGGTGCTCATCACCACCCAGTACCCAAGGGGGGGCAGTGGGTGTGGGGCTGCTCCCCCACCTTGTCCCCATCCACATGAGACCCCAATAAAGCAGCTCTGTGCCCACTTGGGTGGACACGGGGGGGGGCACAGAAGAGGAACAGCCCCAGGGCTCCTCCACTCCCTGCTTTACTGAGCCTCAGCCCTGTTTTGGGGTGTGCAAAGGGAAGCTGGGGGGGGGGGGGTGCCCCGCACTGCCCCAGCCTTGGGTGCAGCTCTGGCGGGGCAGGATGGGGACCCCCCCTACTCCTGCCCCTCTCGGGGGGGGCACACGGCCGCCCACACCTCAGCCACAAACTCCTGGGGGAAAGCGAAGTCCCCAAGCACCGAGGCCAGGCCATGGGCGAGCTGGGCCGCGCCGGCGCTGTCCTGCGCCACCTCCACCATGGTCGAGGCTGCGGACGAGAGGAGGGTCAGGAGCGGGGGGGGGCCGGGGGACATCACTGCCCCCCTGCTGCCCTCATCCCCCACGCACCCAGCTCGCTGTCCCGGATGCCCATGTAACTCTCCAGCAGATCGTCCACCCGACGCGTGGCCTCTTCCTCGCAGGGGCTGGGCTGGAGGGGGTCAGGGGGTGACAGAGCAGGGACCCCCGGTCATGCTCATGGGTGCCCTCAGCGAGGCACCCGCTGGCACATGCTCACCCGGGAGCAGGGGGCATGCCCTGGGCACTGTGTTCGTGTCCAGGCACTCAGGTGAGGGGTTCTTGGGGGTCTTACCCCCTCCTCCAGCATGGCCGGGCCCTGTGCCCGCAGCCGCAGCGTCTCCTTCCCGCTGCTCACGCTGCCCTCGCCCAGGGCCTTGCTGCTCCGCGTCCGCTGCCCGATCATGTCTGCAGCCGGGGCAGGAGGTGAGGGCGCCCCAGAGCCCCCCAGACCCCAACCTGACACCCCCCACCCCGACACCTGCATCCCAGCCCACGTGTGCCCCAGCGCCCCATGGGGAACTGTGCCAGGGGATGCCCACAGGCAGCCGGGCGTGGGGACACCGTGAGTGCAGGGCGGCAGCGCACAGGGCAGTGCACGGAGGAGTGGGGGGTCCATGGGGAGCACAAGCAGGGGCAGGAAGGGGTGTCCCAAGGGGTGATGTGGGGCTGGGGGGGCGCACACAGGGGTGGCAGCTCCTGGGGAGGGGGTGGCTCCTTCCAGGGGTCCCCAGGTGGGAGTGGGGGGCGTGGGGGTGTCCCAACTCACCAAAGGCCTTTTTGGGCTGCACGAGGCGCAGGGTGAAGGGCTGAGCCCGGGGCAGCTCCCGCAGCATCCGCGCCACCTCGTAGTGCCGGCAGCCCACGATGGTGTGGTCGTTGATGGCCTCGATGCTGTCCCCGACACACACTGCCTGGATGCGGTTGATGATGCTCCCCTCCTTGATTCTCTGGGGACGGGGGGACACAGCACCGCGGTGGCACCGGGGCAAGGACAGAGCGACACAGCCCCCACCCCACCCCACACATAAACCCCTCCGCAGCCAGGGAGGGCCCTCCCCACAGGGGGGAGACCCTCAGGAAGGCGATGGGAGGAGCACAGGGCCAGGGCCAGGGTCACCCTGCAGGCCCCAGGGCAGCCCCCCCGGGAGAGTTCACCTTGATGAAAGCATAACCAGCCCCGTTGTCTGTGATGGTGAGGCCAAGAGCGTCCTCCGTCTTGGTCACCTCCACCTCCTTCGTCTCGCCCCGGACGTGGGCGAAGATGAAGTCCTCCAGCCCGATCTGCCCCCCCAGCAGCTTCTGCATGTCCACTTTGTGCGTGTTGAGCGTGCAGAAGAGGATCTGCCCCAGGGAGCCCCACGTCAGCTGCGGGGGGCCCTCCATTGGCGGTGCCAGGGCAGGGGCCACCCACGGGAGCAGCAGGGTCCAGGGGGCACCCAGGGCCCAGCCCCTGCCCGCGCGCCCCTCACCTCGGTGGGGGAGATGCCAAAGACCTCCGCGATTTTGGCATAGAGCTCCTTGACGTTGGTGAAGCCCTCGATGCGCCCCGTGGGGCTGCCGTGCGCCAGCTGCGTGTGGAACACCAGCCTGGGCCGCGCGCGGGGGGCCCGGGGGCCCTCAGCTGCGGGGGGCTCGGGGGCGCCTGGCGCCTGCCCCACGCCGTTCTCCATGGGGCTGCCCTGCGGGGGCTGCCGGCCGTGCCTGCCCGCGCGCCGCATCGCTGCCCCTGCGCTCAATTATAGATGGTGCAGGGCCGAAAGGTGATCCCGGCGGGGGGAACCTGAGCCGGGAGCTGGGATCGGGTGAGCTCTGCCACGCACCGCGGGCCCCAGCTCCATCGCACCTGGGGTGGCTGCGGCGAGGGGCTCAGGGCCAGCGCTGGAGCTCCACACCCCAAAGCCCTGAGCAGCTCCAGGTGCTAACACACTGGGCCCAGACCGGCCCTGGCTCCATCGCGGCCTCCCCGGAGCTCAGGGCAGCCCAGAACCCCCTGTGCTGGGCTGCATCAGCAGGAGCATGGTCACGATCCTGCACCTCTGCTCTGGTGGGACCACGCTTGCAGCCCTGTGCGCAGTTCCGAGGTCCCAACCTAAGGACATGGAGCTGTTGGGAAGTCCAGAGGCGGCCACGAGAAGGATCAGGAGCTGGAGCAGCTCCCATAGGAGCCAGGCTGAGAACACTGGGGCTGTTCAGCCTGGAGAGGAGAAGCTGCGTGGAGACCCCAGAGCAGCTCCAGTGTCTGAAGGGGGCTACAAGGATGCTGGAGAGGGGCTCTGCATCAGGGACTGCAGCGACAGGACAAAGGGGGATGGGTTCAAACTGACACAGCAGTGGTTCAGGTTGGAGAGAAGGTAGAAGCTCTTCCCTGTGAGGGTGCTGAGGCGCTGGCACAGGGTGCCCAGAGAAGCTGTGGCTGCCCCATCCCTGGCAGTGCTCAAGGCCAGGTTGGACACAGGGGCTTGGAGCAAGCTGCTCCAGTGGAAGGGGTCCCTGCCCGTAGCAGGGGGTGAGAACTGGATGAGCTCTAAGGTCCCTTCCCCCACAAACCAGTCTGATTCTAACACCCTGGCTCCTGCACCCCAGCATCCCTGGGATCTTGGCCCCAAGCATGAACACACTGAGCCCAGGCTGGTTTTCTCCAATATTTATTTGCTCCATCTCCCATTCCAAGCAAGCAGCCACCAGGAGATGGCAACCAGGAGACTCGACAGAGCACAGAGCTCACAGGCAGGAGCCAAGCAGGCGCAGCCCAGCCCCAGGCTGAACCCAGGGCTTGAGCCACGTTGTGCTAAGTAAGAAAATAAGACACTCTCTACTAAGAGTGTGAGATTGGTGAGAGGCAGCCCCTGGGAGGGCAGGGCCAGGTCACAGCCGCCCGTGGGGTGGTCCCACTCTTGGACTGGCTCGGGCAGGAGCCCAGAGCCTGTGCACGGGGTTGGGGGCCAGCTCCCCATCCAGAATGATGACTTTGTCTTTGACTTTGAGGCAGGAGCTGCCCTCCCTGGTCCCAGAGCCAGGGGGAAGGAGGTGACAGGCAGAGGGCTGAAGGCACCCATGGAGAGGATTAAATAAAGCAAGAGGAGGGCAGAGGGGACCGTGCACCTCAGCACTGCAGGACAGGGCAGCAAGAGGCTCCCTTAGCTGCTCCAGGGGCCAGGAGGTACCTGGCTGCTTCCCTTCCAGCACAGGCCAGTTAAAAGCAGCCACTGTGTCACGCTGGAAGAGGCTGCAACCCACAAGCAATTCATCCACCACCAAAGTGCCTTTGGGGTGTCTCTGAGCTGGGGGGCTCACAGGGCGTGGGGGGGTTGCTCACAGCCACAACACCGCGTCCCTCACAGCCCTGGCACCACTTGGTCCCCAGGAGCTCGGTGTCCTTGGAGATGGTGCCCCAGGGCCAGGGGGTCCCTGCTCATGCCTCCGGTGAAGGGTGGAGAAGAAACAAGAGGACCCCAGCAGAGACTGTCCCTAGGGTGAGCTCCGAGGGACAGGGCCAGGGTCCGGCCAGCCCCAGGCTCCACAGGAACTGGTCCCCTTCACAGGTGCTCACTGGAGAGGGAAGAAAGCAAAGCTGAGTTACGGGGCGGGGAAGCTCCTCTCTCCCACAGCTCTGGAGCAGCTCCAAGCCCCTCTCTATCCCCCACTTCACTGCTCAACCCTGCCATGGGCTGCCCCAGTGCTCCCCAGGACACACAGGACCCCAGCTCACCTGGCTATCCGGGACAGGATCTCTTTGATGCGCACCACCAGTTTCTCATGCTGCAGGGGGTTGCTTTCAATGGCACTGTGAAGTTTGGCCATGTAGAAGTCCAGAGTGCTCAGTGTGGGGGTCTCCCCAGTGCCTGTGGGGCAGAGGCCCAGTTAAACAAGGCCAGCAAGTCTCCATCTAGCCTGGCCCAGCCCATCAATGCTGGTGCCAGGACCCTGGACCCCGCAGCAGGAGAGCACCACAACAACATAAGCCCAGGAACAAAAGGATTTGGAGTAATCTCTGCCTTGTGGGCACAAGGGTGACTATGGCTCAAGAGGAAGATGGTTCCCAGCCTGCCCTACCCCACTATAGGGGAGCCACCTGACTGCCACATCCCTGGGCACCCCAACCCGTGCCAAACTCCTACTCCACTATCAGAGGAGGGTCTATCACCACCCCTAACCCTAACCCTCCCTGCAGGTCTCCACAGCCACCCCGAACTCACCAGGGATGGGGAGGGAGGCAAAGCTGGTGGTGAGGGCCTGGCGCACGGACTGGAGCTGCTGCTGCAAGGCCAGGGTCTGCTTCTCCTCCTGGGCCAGCTCCTGCTCTAGCTTCTCCTTGGCACAGTTCATGCTCTCCGTGTGCTTCTGCAGGATGGCATTCTGCTCCTCAAACTCTGTGTTCATCTTCCGAAGGCGCCTCAGCTCCGCCTCCCGCGCTGCCGGGACCGCTCCACATCAGCAGGGACACCCCCGGCTCTCCCACATCCCAAGCCCAACCATGGAGCCCCAGACTGGTTTAGGCTGGAAGGGGCCTTAGAGCTCCTCCAGCCCCAACCCCTGCCAGGGCAGGGACCCCTTCCACTGGAGCAGCTTGCTCCAAGCCCCTGTGTCCAACCTGGCCTTGAGCACTGCCAGGGATGGGGCAGCCACAGCTTCTCTGGGCACCCTGTGCCAGCGCCTCAGCACCCTCACAGGGAAGAGCTTCTGCCTCAGAGCTCAGCTCAGTCTCCCCTCGGGCAGGTTCAAGCCATTCCCCTTGGCCTGTCCCTACAGGCCCTTGTCCCAAGCCCCTCTCCAGGTTTCCTGCAGCCCCTTTAGGCACTGGAGCTGCTCTCAGGTCTCCCCTTCAGGAGCCTTCTCTTCTCCATCCCTTCCCCAAGACACGATTCATCCAAGAGGCTCAGAATTACCACTCACAGGCTCCAGTCCCTGTATCCAACCTCAGCAGGGACATTCCACAGCCTCGATCTCACACCCACTGCCAGCCATGGTCCTGCCCCATGGGATACAGGCTGTTCCCCACGCAAGCTGCTGCCAGCACCAGCAGCCCCCACCCCACAGCCCAGCCCCTCACCTTTGTTTTGGTCCAAGAACTCCTCTGTGAAGATGGGCACATCGAAGGTGGAAAAGGTGTCACTGCACTCACCAGCCTGGGGGACGGATCAGGCAGGGCTCAGCACACCCAAGGGGACTCAATTTCCTTGGGACTGGGCAGACAGAAGGCACAGGGACAGGGCAAGGGGTGCCCCAGTTTCCCCAAACACAGGCAGACCGGCTGGGGCCTTACCTTGTGCGGGTGCCCATTCAGCAAGGTGTTTGCTGCTGCAGAGCCTATGTCCTCTGGAAAGAAGGGAGAAGGTTCCCCCTAAGGACCAGCCCAGCAGCCCCCAGAGGCTCTGGCAGTGCTTGGCCGGGTCCTGACAGTGCCTCCGGCAGCCACTGCTCCCCAAACACACCTTTTTTGATCTTTTTCTCCTGGATCTTCTCCGTGCACATCTTGTAGGCCTCTGACTGTTGGTATTCCCGCAGCTCCTTCATGTACTGCTGCTTCTCCCGCTCTGCTTCGTCCAGGTACCGCTGTGGACACAGAGGGAGCTCAGCCTGGCCCCAGGCTCCCAGGAGGCTGCTTGGCGCCTTCCCCACTGCTCGAGGCTCCTGCTGCCGACCCCACCAGCAGTGGGACAAGCAGACAGATGGGTTTAGGGGGAGCCCAGTACCTGCTTCTCTGAGAGCTGCAGCTTGCTCCACTCAGCCCCCAGCATCTTGGTGATCTCGGGGAAGGGCAGGTCAGGATGCTGCGTGCGGATCTGCTCCCGCCGCTCATTCAGGAAGCGCACGTAGCCTGTAACTGGGGCTTTAGGGCCGTTGGGAAGGATCTTCTTCCTCTTCTTGCCCTTGGGCCAACCTCTCTTCTTCACTGGCTGGCACCCAGCAAAGGGAAAAGAACAAGCCACCATGGATCAGAGCACACGATGCCACCACAACGCAGGACACAAGATCGGTATGCAGAGCCTCCTGGGCCTCCCATCCCTTGAGGAAAGGTCCAGGACCCCTTGAGGGTCACTTGGCTGTGCCCAGGCTGCTGGAAGGCGAGCGGAAGCACAGCTCCAGGCTGGGCAACCTCTGTGGGGAGGGATGAAGGTGCTAAAACTCACCTCCTCTTCACCGTGTGGCTTCTCACCACTGGTCCGTGCCACCTCTCCCTTCTCCTGCTTGATGGCCACCAGGAAGTTCCCATGCTGAGCTTTGCCCGTGGCATGTCTGCAGCCAGAGAGTGCCCATCAGAAAGGGCTGAGGAACTGCTGGGATCAATGGTGACACCTCCCCTAACTCCTGCCTATGTCCCAGTGGCCCCCAAACCTGCCACCAGCCCTGGAGCCCCTGCTCCCAAGTGATGGGAGGCGACAGTTGAGTTGATAACGCCCAAGCAAAGCCCAGCACCAGACAGTCCTAGGACAAAAAGGCTGCCCCAAAGCCCAGGGATGACCCTGGGATCTGTCAATGACATTGGAAGGGGGGCAGAAGGCACCAGTCCTGCTTTTGAGGACAGGCAACAGCAACGGTCACTTCCCTGCTCAGGTACACACCCCAGCGAGGACTCCCAAACGGCACAAACCAGTTGATCCTCCTCAGCAAGGGAGGAGAAGCTGGAGGGGTTTGGATCCTGGCTCCAGGGAAGCATCACCCACACCCAGCACAAGCACTGCTGGGGATAAGGAGAAGCCTCAAGGCAGAGGATGAGGGCAGGGCACTGCTGCTGGCTTGACCCACTCCAGCCACAACCGCTCCAGCAGGTTTCTGCCACTGCCACCGAGACGCACCAAGGGCTCCAACACAGGGCTGCTGGC